GCAAAGGACTTGCCCTGGTCAGAGTGCAGCCTCTCTGGAATCCCATAATTGACCACAAATTTCTCCCACAACACCTTGGCTACAGTCGTCGCTTTTTCATCTTTGGTGGGATATGCCTGGGCGTATCTGGAGTAATGATCGGTTATGACCAGAACGTGTTCATAGCCACCCTTTGACCTTTCTAGGCTCAAGAAGTCGATGCAGACTAGCTCCAGCGGGCGTGTAGTGCGGATACTTTCCAGCGTTGCCTGTCTTTAGGTGTCTGGCGTCTTCCTGAGTGTGCACCATCTGCACTTCTTGATGTAAGCACGGATGTCAGAATAGAGGCCAGGCCAGAAATACCTCTCCCTAGCTTGGTGTAGTGTCTTGTCGAGACCAAGATGCCCCATCGAGTCACGAAGGAGTTGTAGCACCTGTGATCGAAGGTCTACTGGTATGACAAGGAGATACTGCTGGCCAGCTGCATCACCACCCGGACGATGAACAAGGAGATTGTGTCGTACCTCCAATCGGTCCCAACTCCTCAACAGCCGACGGACAGCCCTGGTTTCTTGTCCCAGTTGCCTTTTGCATGGTCTTCCTTCTCGTATGCCCTTCAGGTATATAACCCTGGAGATGGCTTCATCTCTCAGCTGTGCTGAGAGCAGGTCAACACCCTGACCAAAGCTTGTACCTGGGATGAGGTTGTCATAGGCAGTTGAAACTGATTCATCACCCGAAATACTGGGACCTTCTCTTGGCGACGTTACTTCTTGAGCGTGCACCTGTGCTGATACCTTCTCTCCTCCATTCTGTTCTTCGCCGGCCAACTTATCCTCCGATCTGTCCATCCCCACTTCATTGGTACCAAAGATGCAAGATACTTCATCCCTGACAATTCGTGACAGTGCATCTGCATTGCCATTGGCGTGACCAGGCCGGTAGATTATGTCCAACTTAAACTGAGACAAATCGCTAACCCATCGCTGACCATGAGCATCCAGCTTCGCCGTCTTGAGAATGTAAGTGAGTGGGTTGTTGTCGGTAACTGCAGTGACATCTTGACCATATAGGTAATCGCGGAACTTTACCGTTATTGCCCAATGAAGAGCTCGGAACTCCAGCTTATGAGCAGGGTACTTGGCCTCTGACGGTGTAAGGGTGCGACTGGCGTATGCTATTGGTCGCTCTCGTCCACCTTGCACCTGTGTGAGAACTGCCCCACACCCATCGGCCGAGGCATCCGTCTGGACAGTGAATGGGAGGGAATAGTCAGCATAGGCAAGGACCGGGGTTGAAGTCATTTTCTGCTTCAGTAGTTCAAAAGCTTTCTGACACTCCTGACTCCAGGTGAATGGTGGATCCTTCGTTCCACGCTTGCCTCCTATCAGGGCAAAAAGTGGTCCCGCAATTCGAGCATAATTGTGAATGAAACGCCGATAGTAGCCAGTGAACCCCAAGAAACTACGGACATCCTTCTTGGTCTTCGGCTTGGGCCAATCCACGACGGCAGAGGTCTTTTCAGGGTCGGTGGCAATACCATCTGCAGACACAACATGACCAAGATAGCGAACTTGTGACTGGAAAAAATGGCATTTGGATGGTTTAAGCTTCAAACCATGCTCGCGCAGCCTCTCAAAAACCTTTGCAAGCCTCTCCCGGTGTTCATCTACAGTGCTGCTGAATATGATTATGTCATCAAGGTACAGAAGGAGGGAGTCGAAGTTCATGTCCCCAAGGGCAGCGGTCATCAGCCTTTGAAATGTTGCCGGGGCGTTCATCAGCCCGAAAGGCATTCTGGTAAACTCATACAGGCCCATGGGGGACGTGAAAGCCGTCTTGGGTCGATCCCTTTCAGCCACCTTGACTTGGAGGTACCCGGACGTCAGATCCAGGCTCGTGAAGTATTTGGCTTTACCAAGGGCGTCTAAGGCATCTTCGACACGGGGCAGTGGAAATGCATCCCGCACAGTCTTGGCGTTCAGCTGGCGATAATCGACACAGAGCCTGATTTTACCGTCCTTCTTTCGTACGATTACGATGGGGGATGCATAAGGGCTCTGACTCGGCTGTATCACTCCCGATGCCTTCAGCTTGTCTATATGCTGTCGGACTTCTTGGAA